AAAGTAAAAGATTCATGTATTTAGAACTTATATTGAAAGGGAGGTTTCAGACAAAGATAGGTTACTCATTTAGAGACCTTAGATCACTACGCATCTTTTCTAGATCACTCTTGAGCTTTTCCATCATCTTTTCTATATCAACCTTGAGTTTCTCAGTCTCGTGTTGCAAAAGAGAAAAATGGTGGTCCTGCATTTGAAATCAAATGAATTAGTCCATGTATCTTAGCCATCATATGAGTCCGGTCACACTTAAGAGTCCGGATACAAATTAAATAACTACTGCAAAAACTGATTTAGAGCAGAGCAACCTTGTCTATACAATTCAAACAAAATGGCCAAGCATGATAAAAAAATATAATAAAATCAATTTTCAGATTTCTTAGTAGTAATATAATATATTCACAGAATTGTCATCCAGAATACAGATTATAAACTGGAATATTTCACTTTCGATGTAACACCGCTATAATGAATAGGCAGAGTGGAGACCATTCTAAGAAAAATCAAGCATCGTGGAAGATACCAACACATAAACCACAATACAAGTCTTTATGTTGAAGAATAGACTTCCAAAGAATAAAATGTCAGGGAATGGAAGCATTTACATGTCCGAGTCATTATTCTGTGAGCAAAAGTATATGGGAAGTTTCATGTATTGTAAAGCTACGTTACGTGATCATGTTTCTTAAAGGAAGATCTCATTCAGTATCTTGCCTGAAATTGAAAATAGGTCTATCATTTTCTCTCATCCTTGAGTAAAAGATCTTTCAGGGGCATAGAAGACAGGAACGAGAGCCCAAAAATTGGTTCATTAATAATAAGCTGTAGCTTTTTTTGCTCTGGCAAATAGTTGCCAGAACCCAAGTGTTTGTTTTTTCATCTTTATGAAGCACAATCCCCATTCCCCATGTGGAACTTCTCTAAATAAGTTCTTTCAAATTAGTAACAGTAAAAAGTTATCTTTTTTTCTCATGGATCAAGCAATTAACTGGAACTAAAAAAAACGAAAGAAAGAACAAACAAACTAAAAATAAAGTAAAACTAACTTTCAATATCTAGTATCTACCATGTACTCATGTCAAGATCACATAACTACTAGAACATGGACCGCATATGCAAATCCATAATAACTTTTCCATCAATCAGAACATACATCAACTTACGTCAGATAACAAACTCTAAAGTTGTTAACTACATTTCACAATTGAGAAACATATAGCAATCTTATGGAATAAATATGACATAAGTTCTGTTGAACAACAAAGCGTTTACATGTGTCAGAAGTGTTGACCATGTTTTTCCACCATACCGACTGCCATCAAATTCTTAGGCTCATTTGTATAATTCAGTAGCGTGCAGTGTAAGTACATCAAAATACGTGAGTAGTTTCCAGAACAGATACATCTAATCTGACAAAACGAAGAAACACCATACTACAGGTCGGTCAAAGCAGCTTCTCCTTTGGTGATCAACTCAACTACTTAATAATCATTTACTTACAATAAATACAATATATTTATATCCGTCAAGGTTGGCAGGTATTTTGGGTTTACCAAAACATGCTGTGCTAGTTCGACGTTCGCAAAAAGGGTTTCAAAGGGTAAGAGGAAAAGAAGAATAAGCGGTCTTTGGTCATATACACAGTACTATGTATAAGTTTTTGTACACTCTCAATGCATAAGTTTCTGCAGTACTAAATGAACCACAGAAATCTGATGCTTGTTGCCTATTTCCTCCTTACATCACTCTTGTCATTTTTCAAAGAAATTTCCAGATGCAATGATAAAGCAAGGACTAATTAGCACAACGACCAAACATCTTTTCTAATCTGTTTTTCTAATTATTTACTCTGCCCTTTTTTAATGATACACTGAGGTTCAAAATACATTCAAACATCTGAGGCAACACCTCCTGATGGTACTAGTAGACTCTAAGAGAGAACACTTCATTTAGCCCAATAAGCACATACTTCTCCTTCTCCATAGACCACAAAAGATGTTGGTTAGGCCACAATGAATAAAACATTAATGACAACAAACTATAAACTACATATTAAACTAATCAACTACGTGAAATCTCGAGCAATATGTCAATTCCATGATAAAAAATTGATGAGGAGAGGCCTAATTTGCATCGTTTGATATAAGACACCTATCCAGGTCTATGAATGGCAAGTATACACCCCTGTATGATACTCGATGTGTTATCAGACAAACACATCACCTTTTGTTAGATCCTTCCGAAATAGAGTAGAAAATATAGGCACACTTCCCATCATCAAAGATATATCACACTCAACAGACATAAAGTACAAATAGTTATTACAAAATTATTAAAAGCATCATGGATGTCAGTGGGCATATTCTTAAGCAGAGAAACGGAAGAGCAGTTCAGAAATAGTTTGGGGAGCAAATAGCAATGCATATCAACACATGATATTCCCAAATTAGTTTTGTAGGAAATAAGTTTAACGCCAGCCTAGAAGAGACATGATTACGAACTTGGGACAAATATAAAATAAGTTGTGATCGCGCCTTTCAGGTACCTGTGAACTTTTAACTTCAGTCTTGAATTTGGATAAATTTGATTCCTGTGTCATCTCATTCTGCACAGAACAAAAACATTTCAATAGGTAAAAGTCAAATCCCTCCAAACAAAAGCACTTTCACAAAAACACACAACAAATCAATGTACATTTCAACAACAAGAAAACACCAAGACGGCATAGCTTACTCTTTGCATTTCACCTTTGGAAACAAACCAAAAGGAAGCATTGTCCAAGCTATCATTCAGGACTTCCATCATTGCCCCCGTTATGGCTTCCGCCTGCTTCGACGGCACCCCCTGTGCCTCTAATCTCCTAACCTTTTAAAAATTAAAAAAAAAAAAAA